GGGAAAGAGAGAAGGGAAAGGAAAGGAGAGAAGGAAATGAGGGAAAGAAAGAGGGCAAAGAGATGGGGAGAGAGAGGAAGGCTCTCCCACCACCCCCAACTCCGTGGATCCCTCACTTACCATGATCAAGGCCTTCCCCAGGCTTCAGCGCTTTGGCACGGGCCACAGGAACCCAGTGATGGGCCTCCTCAGGCCTCCCGCAGCACTTTGGCGTGGGAAGCTGGGGGCGGGGCTTGCTGCCACCATTTGTGCCAGCTGCTGGGCTGCCGGAGCAGTGCTCCGGCCCCAAATGACCCCTGTAGACATCTAATACCAAACCATAGTTGAATATCTAAGGGAGAGAGTTGTACACTGAATGGTATCCAGGGGAGAAGGACCAGGTGAAAATTAGTTTTAGGACTACCACTTGGGGATATGCAGCTTGGTACATATCGAGTTTCATGTTCCATGTTAAATATGAAGAAGTAGAAGTGTGCCTATTACTTATACACCCACAGTTCTTTTACCAGGAAAGACTGAAGAATTTTAAAAAACCCATCCTCTGAGCTTCTGGCCTTCAGGGACATTGGGAGTAGTTTGAAAGCATTTAATTCAGACAGCAAAAGAGATACCCAAGATGTTAAATATCTCATTATCTGGATTCTTTTCTGTTTCTGTTTACAGATTCTGTAGATGGAAAGCATGCTCGAAGAACTCAGTCCAGTAGCCCTCTGGGAGAGCTGTTTGACCATGGACTAGATAGCTGGGCTACCTCAATTTTCCCCCTTTCCTTTTTTTCTGTCTGTTCCCGTGATAATGGAAAAGTTGGCGTTCCCGTGTCCACCATGTATTTCTCATGGATTGTTATATCACTAAACTTTATGTTTTCGCACTGGGAAAAATATAACACAGGAGTTCTTTTTCTTCCTTGGGGATATGATATAAGCCAAGTGGTAAGTATTTTTATTTTATTTTATTAGTACTTACAGTATTAACAGAAACAACAAGTATTTCTTGGGGCATGTATATTTGGCAGAGGCTTTAAATGAACTCTAATATTTATTTAAAGTATTGAAGAAATACTTCTTTATTAGATGAGAATAAGGCACAGGGGTAATTTCCTGCAGGAGCGCACAGGAGCAGAGCTCCGGCAGTAAAGAGCCCAGGGGGCGGGCCCATGCAACAAGCCCCATCCCCTGCTCCTAGCAGCCCTCAGTCAGAGCAAGAAGCAGCCACGTAAGTTGCAGAGCCCCCCTGGCCCCTCAGTCCAAAACAGTCCAGTGGTACCTTTAAGACCAAGTTTTATTCAGGTACAAGCTCTCCCTCCTCTGCAAGGACAGAGCTGCACGTTTCCCTCCCCAATAGCTAGCAATCCAAAACAGTTCAGTGGAGCCTGAGTGGTGGGTGCTGCCTTCTGACACATTTCCAGTGATGTCAAGGGGTGTGGCATATGCAAATAAGTTATGCTAATGAGCTCTGCTAATGAGCTCCTGCACCTCTTTTTCTACAAAATGATCCAATAAGGCATATGAGAATAAATCATTAATAGTAACATATTTCCTTTTCCCCATTCCTGAAAGTCCCCTTTGCCTCTCACCTTTTCCTGCTTCTTTCTCTCCTTCCCATCCAACAGCCAACTTACATTTATCTGCCTCTCTGTCTTCAGCTCCCCCCCCCCCAGCAGCCTCTACCTAGGAAAACAATGGCCCAGTTATGTGGTGCCAGCCACTGGGCCAATCCCACTTGCCTGGTATAGAACCCTCAAGGACTTGTGGGGGGGGTACCTCACTCTCCCTGTATCACTCTTCCAGTACTATTTCTGCTTTCTTTCCTCCCCGCAGTCCCCGTATCCTCTCCCCTTTCCCTGCCTTTTCAGCTAGTCACCAACCTATCTTTTATCTGCCTCCCATCTTCAGCTATATTATTATTTATTTACTTCATTTATACCTCACCTTTCTCCACAGTGGGGACCAAAGCAGTTTACATTTTCCTCTTCCCTTTTATCCTCACAACAACCCTGTGAAGTAGATTAGGCTGAAAGTATATGACTGGCTCAGAATCACCCGTTGAGCTCCCATAGCAAATGGTGGCTGATGTAGCTTTTTTATGGGACACACAAAGGTGTTGTTGGGGTTGCTGACCAGAACTAAATGTTAAAAATTGCTGCCCCATGTTTTCTCCTAATTTCTCTCATGTTAGGAGAAAACACACAAGCTATCACTGGGGTAGATCCTACCCCTACCCTACCACTCAACAGAGCAATGTTTGAAGCCTTCCTCCAACTTAGAAGAGCTACTGAAGTTGAATAAAGGCTCCTTAGGCTGGAGGCAGGCTCCTTGGTGGATTGTTGGATCCATTCCACTGCACTGAATTTCCCCATCCCTACAGACAGCAGTTAATGAAGAGGGTCAGGGGTGGGGAAGCTTGGAGTTCAATAATGTCACATTGTGCATTTTATTAGATGTTATGTGGTGAGAAAAGGAAAGAGACATGGGACTGCTGTTTTCAGTGGCATCTGTGCATTTCCTGTAACATCTAATATCAGTCTTATAATAAAAACCATTTAGCCTTCCAACATTGTATTGCTGCATGTGAATTTGGATTGACAAATATTCTTAAACAGACATAATCCCTATCTTTTATTCAATCAAGGCTATTTAAAATTATATAGGATTGATTTTAAAACTTGAATTCAGCCACTTGCTTTTAGAAAAGAACAAAACAAATTTAAATGGCTCTAGTATTTAGCAAGTATATACTACAAAATTGGCAGGCTATCACTGCATTTTTGAAGTATAATACAACTTTAGGCAGAACCATATGGTGCAGACACATGGAAATATATTTACTAAGGAGATATTTTTAAACCATAGGAAGTGTTCAGCAGTGTGCTTTTTAATGCTTGCAGGCAATAATGTATGGGTGAAAATGGGTCATTAATTTTTTTTAAATCACATGACTATCAGTGTTCTGTACAAAGGTTTCTGTTCTAATTAAGGCATAAAGCTAACTTTTCTTCTAGCATCACAAACATAACTGCTTTTGCAGTTAATCAGTTAATTGTCATATGGCATTGCGTGTAGTATAGCTAGGAGATCCTAAGATTGTCTGGCAGCCAGAAGTTCTAGCACTTTAGCATTATACACCACTAGGTGATGAGCTAGACTTGTTTTTAAGGCAAGAGACATTTCAGAAGTGGTTTGCCATTGCCTGCCTCTACCCTGGTGTTCTTTGGAAATCACCCTTCCAAATACTAGCCAAGGCCGACCCTGCTTAGCTTCCGAGATCTGACAGAATTGGGCTAGCCTGGGCTACCCAGGTTAGGGTGCCTTTACAGTGCTTTCATGGTATACCCTGTGGCATCCAGCCCATGCAGAGGCAACGTTTTAGATCAGTGGACAATGAACTGGTTGTTTCTTCTTCTTTACTGTTAATTAGAGTTGCATGTTTGATTCCCCTTCTATCTGATAATGATATTAACCTTACCCAAAATGGTGACGTATCCTCTTTTTGTCATTTTTTTTTTAAGACCTTGATAGCAACCACTATTTTTGTCAAGCCAATGTGGTGGGCACAGCTGCCCCAGATATTCTGAACCTCTTTTAGGGCCTGTTTTTCAGGCACCTTGTGTAGTCTTCACTAAATATACTAAAACTCCCTAAACCTAAACACATTACTAGGTGTTGACTCATTTACTTCAATGGAACATATTTTTGTATACATATGCTCGAGATCTCAGCCATAAATTGTTACTGTATATTAGGGTTGCCAGGTCTGGGATGGAAAATACCTGGAGACTTTGGGGGTGGAGCCAGGAGAGGGTGGGGTTTGGGGAGGGGAGGGGCTTCAGTATGGTGCAATGCCACAGAGTCCACCCTTCAAAGCAGCCATTTTCTCCAGGGGAGCTGATCTCTGCCACCTGGGGATCAGTTGTAAAAGTGGGAGATCCAGAGGCTGGCAGCCTTACTGTATATGTACATGTTGCTCAGCCAGACCTTTTCACAGAGAGGGAAGTAGATAAGTGGCCTATCATTTGTACACTTATCTTTATGTGAGAACAGAACTGGACTTTATATTCTGAAATTTTATTTTACAGATAAAATAAAAAATGTTTTTCTTTTCCCTTTAGGTTACAGTGGGCATGTATTTGCTGACTGCTGTTTTTGGAGTAGACGTTTGGCACAGGCCTTTCATATTTGGTTATTATCTCACAGATATATTAATAATGCTTATTATAGGTAAGGAACTGTTAAAACCTATACTATTGTGTTGCCTGTTTAAATACAGTAGTTTGTATTCAGCCACAGTGTTCTGAAACTTATAAGCAGTTGAATTTTCAGGAGAGAGCTGCAGTATTCACTGATTCTCCTGTCCTGAGGCAGCTCACTGAGTCCCTTGAAATTTTGTTCCTGGGGATCAGTGGACTCTCAGAACAGCATGGGGGCAAAGGGGAGTGTGCAGGCAGACACCATTGCTCTTGCCATGTGGTAGGATTGTCATATAGATGGTTCTCCAGTATGTCTAACCAACTTCTCCTTCAATATCCATTTCTTCTGAAAACAGTTCCTATATCACAGTACCTCGCATTCACCACTGCATGGTATTCATTTCCTAACACAACCTCACTACTTCTTAACTCCTCCCTTTTCATTCAGGGTCTTGTCCAAAGATTCTAAAAGCAATCCTATACAACTGTACTCAGGCCTATTCAGTGGGGATTACTACCAGAAAAGTGTTCATTGGCTGCGGTCACACGGAGCATTAGGCACGCTAGAGGGACGGAAGATAGGCGGATTTTCTGGGCGCGATCTCACCGCCACATCTGGGAAGCGTCGAGCTCCCGTGGTGATCCCGAGGCTTCCCGCGGAAGATGCGCGGTAAAAAACTAGTACCTCGGAGGTACTAGTTTCCTGAAACCGCGGGGCAAGGGCGGGCGTCTGATCGCGTTTCCGGTGGTAGTTCTGGCGCCCGCCTATGTCCCCTCGCAAAAAGGGTTTTTTTTTCAAAGTCTCCACGGATGCGCACAAGCACCCAAGGGAGCATGCGCACATTTGAGTTTTAAAAAAACCCCAACCCCGTTTGCCCCGCGCCCCGCTTCTTTGCCGCGCCGCAGGACTGTGGAGTGATTGGCACCTCTCCCCTACCACGGGACCTCCACGGTAGGTCTGCTCGTGCAGCCGTGCGGTTTTTAGCCCTGGGGAACACAGCCATGCGTCCCCCCCGCATTTTCCTGCCCGTGTGCCCGCAGCCTTAGAATGGCAGAGCCAAGGTGCTCTGTTGTTTCTGTTTTTTGTTGATTTATTTACTTCACTTATACCTTGCCTTTCCCTGAACTGGGAATCCAAAGTGGCTTACAGCATTCTGCTGTTCTCCATTTTATTCTTACAACAACCTTGTGTGGTAGGTTAGCCTGAGTGTGTGCGACTGGCCCAAGGCCACCCAGCAAGTATTTGTGGCGAAGTGGGGATTTGAACCTAGGTCTTTTAGATCCTAGTCAGAAAACTCTACCCACTACACCATACTGAATCTCATAGTATAGTGTACTATGTGTATGTCATTTTCAAAAAGCATGCACTTTAATGGTTTGAAACAACATAGTGTGATTTGGAAGCGGATTGTGTAAGATTGTGTTAGAGGCCAGCACAGATACTTGGGAAAAGATGAATACTAGCCAGTCCAAATTCTATAAGTACATATGAGATAGTTCTGGGATGCTGTCTGATTTATACAAGACATGCAACTTTTCTTTGCCAAGCTACTATTTTCCTTTGCACTGGTTATTAAAAGACATTGCTATCATGTTGTGGTTGATAGTCCATGAATGAAGCCGTCATTCATGCTCCACAATATAGAAATAAGAGGGCTTATGATGAGTTTGTGGAAGCTTGAAACCTCCTCTGGAAACAGATTTTATTAAATTTCGATAAAATGGTGAGAAGGTGCTTTGGGTTCCCATGGGGAAGAAAGGCAAGGTATAAAATAAATAAATAAATGCTATGGATACCCATTGCAAGGAAGTAAATTACATTGATTCAAAAGCTCTTAATAGCATTTATGTACTTTTAGCAGTGTTGTAGCCAAAGTGATTTAGTACAGCTTAATTATTAGTGGTCTAGAGCATGTGATGTTCTTTACCACACTCTACCTTCACTGTGGTGATTCTCATAGTTCAAAGGCCAGCCTGTGATGTACTAGACACTTAGCATTTATTTCCTCATGGGATGATGGGTGATCAAGGCACATGGTGATGGCATTATGCAACCACTTCAATAGACACTCAGCTGAAACACGGTTTCAGTCAATTCACACCTTGTTCCACCTGTATGGCTGTCACAGTCTTTGTCTCCATTCAAGACTGACTTCAATCCTCTTCTGTCAACAAACACTGATGTGCCTTTGAGCCCCTTTCACACAGTTGGTAGCACCAATGTATGTTGAGACTGCATAATAGGAAAGGAGTTGTGTACATTAACACTAGGGTATGTTTGGCATTCGTATTACAAACCAATACACTAGAAACAATGTATTTAAGACTCAGATACAAAAGTACACCAACAATCCAATCCAAAGCAGAGTTATACTCTTCTAAGACCATTTACTTCAATGGACTTAGAAGGCTGTAACTTATTGCACTGCAAGGTATTCTGTTGATGCCTTCTTTGTTTTATATTTTGACTAGGAAAAAGGCCCGTTGTGGAAATAAATTCAGTGGCCTCTAGAAAGAGGCTCTGGGCGGGTGCCCCGGCCTTGGACACTCAGTGTCAATTTGCTGTGGTGACCTCAGCAGGGTATAATGACACTGATTCCACCATTTTCTCCAGAGGAACTGATCTCTGCTACCTAAAGAACAGTTGTAATTTTGAGTGATCTCCAGCCCTCACCTGGAGATTGGCAAGGATGGTTCCCCAGAAGGGAATAGTTGCTTTGGAGGGTGGGGTCTATGGCTTTGTACCTGTCCGAGGTCCCACGCCTCCTGAAACCTCACCCTCTCCAGGCTCCATCCCTCACATCTCCAGGAATTTCCCACCTGGAGTTGGCAACCCTATCTCCTTCCCAGCCAATCATCAACCTACCTTTATTTCCCCCTCACTCTTCAGCTTTCCACCCCCTACACACCTGCAGCCTCTCCCGTGCTCTGAAGCCCTGACTGCTATGTCACATTGGCTGTGATACGGGGGCCACCTAAGCAGCATATAAGCATACAGAGCCCACCATTTTCTCCAGGGGAACTGATCTCTGCCATCTGGAAAGCAGTTGTAATTCTTGACACTGAGTCCACCATTTTCTCCAGAGGAACTGCTACCTAAAGAACAGTTGTAATTTTGAGTGATCTCCAGCCCTCACCTGGAGATTGGACACATTTTACCTCAGAACAGCAAAACTGTTTAGAATGTTAGAGGCAAAAGCCAATCAAGTCGCATATGCAAACGACCTCTGTGTTCCGAGGCAAAAGCCAATGAGGCTGCATATGCAAATAACCTCTGTGTTCTGACTGGCTATGGGAGGGGAGAAGAAGAGCAAAATGTTTAGACTGTTGGAGGCAGGACTTAGGCAAAGCAGCCAGTGGATAGGGAGACCCTCTGAATGACAGATCAGAGAGCGAACTGATTTTGGAGTGTGTGGAATGTTCTAGAGAAGTGCCACCACCATTCGGCTTTTATTTATAAGGGAGATGGGGAAATGAAGGCAAATCTAACCATAAATGTGTGTGGAAAACATTAATCATGTTCTGATGCCAGCAGTAATCTATTTTTATTATTTATAAAATACTTAGAAGCAAGCTGGGTGTTGTATATAGAAAAAAATAAGAAGCCCTGAAAGATTATAATATAAAAAGCCAAGCACATTAAGTAAAAAGAAATATAAAAGGGAGGTAAGGAAAGAAAACTACAGTAAAGAAGTGGATTTTGAGGAGCCAATTGAAGGAAGGTAATGAAGAGGCCAGCCAATTGCCAGAAGAGAAATTTCCCTTTCCCCTATAGATGTTTTCTCTTCTTAGCTATGATTTAGGCTACAAAAATTTCTAAAATTAGAAATTTTATTCAGGTCATTTCTAGTCTATTAATAGTCCATATTTTTTTTTAAAAAAAAATGCTGTGCTTGGATTGTTTTCTTTGTTTCCATTGGTCTCAGTGTTTCCATCTGCAACTTTCCCCCTCAGGTATTATACCCCCCTCCACATAAAGGAGTATCCATCTGCTTTGAATTTGGCAGGGGAGGAAACACCTATATTTTATGGGCTGTTAAATTCTTATCTGCACAGGGATGCATGAACTGTTGTATGAGATCATTTTCCCTCAGTTCCCAGGATCTTAACACTGAGCCTGGCCTCCCTTGCCTTACACTGTTACCCTCTGGTACTTTCAGGACTTTTCTCCCAGACAGATTAACTGGGATCGGAGCTGAGCTGGAGGGAAAGTACTTCAAGCACTAGAGTAAGGAGATGGGTGTGTGTGTGTGTTAGTTTATTTGTTTAACAAAATTTATACCCTGCCATTCTCGCTTCATAAGGGCCACCATGGCGGCTAAAAAATTAAAACATATGTAATAAAATCACATTTTAAAAACCATCAAACCCAACAAAAACACATAATTAAAACAATTAAAACTAGATCTAAAACACACAACCTTAAAAGCAGCAATTAAAACACTGGGCAGGAATGAAAGGATCACTGCAGGAATGCCAAACAAAACAGAAGATGGCAACAGAAGGGGACAGGCAAACCTCCCTGGGGAGAGAGCTCCAGAGTTTTGGTGCCATGGCTGAGAAGACCCTCTCCTGGGTTGCCACTTGCCTAATCTCAGAAGATGGGGGCACCTGAAGCAGGGCTTCTGAAGATGTCTGTAGTGTTTGGGTAGGTTCATAAGAGAGTAGGTGGTCCTTCAGGTATGCTGGTCCGGGGTCCCAAACCATAAGCTGAGGCATCATACTCATTTGTTATGAGTGCCAGAGCTGACAAAACCATCATTTTGTCGGGCTGGGCCATAAAATGCTATGCCAGGTACCAGAGATATAAACTTTATAAAGGACACAGACAAACCCAATTAACAATATTATTTTTTACTCAAAATACAAACATGCTTAAACCATTAACACTCTTACAGTATTTCCTTTACTTAATAGTCTTTGATAACTGTCACTCTTGCTCTGACTAATTGTGTCAAAATCTGGAGTCAAAGTCTGTGCTGTAGCAATCTTGAGTATGCTGTTTAGGTGTGTGTCTGTAAACTGAGAATA